GCTGCCATGTAAATATTTTCCAAAGGAAAGGCTTGGCACAGAGTCTCTGAGAGTCACAGGCAGATCTTCACACTCCTGAAATGAACAAATGAATGAATGGTTTCCGGCAAAATCCCACTCCCCTTTCACTCCTCATTTACTTCCTATGGGAGGGGCCGTTCACTATCCACCTGCGGCTTTACTGCCAAGTTGATTCTGATTTCTTAGCTGTTCTTTTCTTCAGGCAGTCCTGCGCATGTGTACACTGGGAACAGGCTCCAGCTGTTCCTCTGCCTCACTGCTGTCTAGCTCCGAAGGCAGCGGAGAACTGCCAGATGGCCTTGGCCCCATATCTGCCTTGACTCAGAGCCCTTGTCCGAGCCTTCCCCAGCCTGCAGGACTGGCCCATGTTCCTCCCCAACCTCCTCACTGTCCGACTCTGCTGCCAGCTCCACTGCCCACTGGCGGGCCACAACAATGATATCATATTCAAGGTGCTGTCCCAATCCTGCCAATTTAGGAATGTGCCCCCCTCCCCTGCTCCTGAAAAATCGTGTCCCTTTTAGTCTGAAAAAGATTGGGATCGCCTCTTCCTTTTCCGAGCGTCACTTGTGGATTTGCCGCCAATGAAAAATTCTCAAGCACTGAAGAGGACTTGATTGATCACAAACGCCTTGCCTAGGCTCGGGTTCCCGCCTTGCTCTTTCCCCACGTGGATTTTCTGATGGGTAGCCAGGCAGTCGCCCCGACTGAAGCTCTTCCCGCACTCGGGGCACCGGTAGGGTTTTACGCCCGTGTGAAGCCGCTGGTGCCGGATCAGGTCCGAGTTCTGGCTGAAGCTTTTCTCGCACTCGGAGCACTTATAGGGTTTCTCCCGGGTGTGGATCCGCTGATGCCGGACGAGGCTCGAATGGGCGCTTAAGCTGAGGCCGCAGTCGGAGCAGCTGAAGGGCTTCTGACCGGTGTGCATTCTCAAGTGCATATCCAAGATGGACTTACGAAGGAAAGTCTTCCCGCAGTTGGAGCAGTCGTAGAGCTTCTCCAGGCGGTGGACCCTCTGGTGCGACGTAAGGTTCGCTTTGTGGCCGAAGCCCTTGCCGCAGTCCGAGCACTTATGGGGCAGTTCTCGGCTATGGAGTCTTTGATGGAGGGGGACCCCCTTCCCAAAGGCTGAGTTTTTACTGGGTCTCTCCTCCGAGATAACCACAAGGCACCGGTTTTTCTTCTTCTTCTTCTGCTTTTCCTGAGGAACTGGGACCTCGTCCACATCAGCAAATTTATCCTTTTCTCCTGCCTGTTCACCTTCCTGCATCTGTGGGCCATCTGGATTCCAGGGGATTTCTCTCAGAGCTTCACATCTGCCTCTTTCTAACCCTTTGCGTGTTTCCCCTCCATCTTTCTTCTCGAACACACCTTCTGGAGCAGGGAGAGAATGAAATACAGGTAGTTCTCGGCTTACAACAGTTTGTTTAGTGACTGTTTGAAGTCAAAGGGGACGTTAGATTCACTTAACAATCATGTAATTAACTGAACAACTTCAATGATTCCCTTACATACATAGGCTCCTTAGAACTAAATAGAGAACGGTCCTAGCAAATTGAATATTTCTGATTTAACATTGAATGCTTCACCTTATAACAGAATGACGTTCAAAATGTGTATGCATGTACTGTAGTATGTATGTGTATATAGCACTAAATATTAAATCAGAAATATTCAATTCACCAAGACCATTCTATTTTTAGTTCTAAGGAGAAATGTGCATAGGCAAAACCTCTTTTTGGTTACTGGGGATTTCATGGACAAATGCAAAACTATTTTCATTTTCCAATCTAATTAGCAGCTCTGTGATTTCTTGGCGGTCTCCCATCCATGTAGCAACCCTCCTTAACTCCAAACTCCAATCCCAAGACAAAAAAAATATAGGATTCTCAGAATGATTGGAAGAATCTGTGGATTATTATTTTCCTATTGTCAGCCTGCTGTGTTTTTCTGCTTTAAGGAAAGGAGTGATAAAGAAGGATTTTTAACTCCAAAGAGTCTAGTGGGAATTAAGAGGAATTTACCACACTTTTCCTGATTGACTAAACCCGGTTCAGGTTTTCTTACCGAACTTAAACATTGATCCTGGTTGTGAATCTATTTTATATATATATAAAAGGCAAATACCACTCACTCATCACGAAATCTCCAGAACCCTAAAGCTTACAAACTTGAATTTTGGCAAGTATGTTCCTCTTGGCTTCTAGGTGCTTGCTAAGAAAGGATTTTTTGAAATGACCATCCAATCATTAGTATTTCTTATACAGTAATTAACACGCTCTGATGCTAAGGAGTTCTTCTCCCCCTCCCCACCTGAAA